GGGCTGGGCGGCGGGAACCGAGCAGCACCGGGGACAGGGCTCGGGAGCCGCCCGCCCGGCGGGGCAGCGGCGGGGGGGGGCTGCCGGGGGAGGCGGGGGGAAAGGGGCACGGGCGAGCCTCGGCTGCCCAGCGAGGTGGTTGTGACCGACGGCCGGGGAAAAGCTGTAGGAAAAGTCGGAGGTTTGCCGCGGCTGGCTTGCGCTCTCGGACATCTTCTTGCCGTCACGCTCGCCGGCTCTCCGGACGGGGGCTTGAGGCGATGCGAATTTCTCAGGTTTCTGTTAGGCTGTCGAATGAGAGAGTGTTAGCTTACCGGTGATGGTGAGAAGACCGCCGAGTGTCTTCTCTGTCATTACTGGACACAGTGTTAGCAATGGACCCCTAACTAGCATTTTATAGCTTGTCGTGTAGTTTAGCTTAAAAAAAAAAAATCCTTCCGAGGAAAGAAGAGAACAGCCCATTTACATAATACAGAAATATGTGAACTACTGGGGGAAGTGCTCACCTCCCTTATTTGAGGTCCTGCCCGAGAGCTGGCTAGCTGGACAGCGCAGAGCCCTGCTCCAAGAGCATGGTTCTCTCTGACGTCACCTGCTTCTTTCCTAGTGATGACTGCAAATAACTGTTGGAGAAATGCGTCTAACCGCTTTCGGTACCATTAGAGGTATTTGAAAGGGCTAATGCTACTGCCGTTTGATGCACGGTAATCTTTCACTTGTTTCATGTATGTACATACACATGCATTGACAGTTATCTGGCTTTGTCTCGTTAGAAGCACCTAGGTGTTTTTAAGACAGTTAATTTTTGAGTATTTTTGTAGCCAAAACCACACACTTTTTCACATACTGAAGTCAAGACCAGTTCATTGTTACAGACCTGTAAATGTTTTGGTATTGAGTATACATGTCCGGAAAAGATTCCCTTACAATTAATGTTTCTGTGTTGCCTTTTCAGGGTGAATTGTTAAATCCTTGCCGCTGCGATGGGTCAGTACGATACACGCATCAGCTTTGCCTGTTAAAGTGGATAAGTGAAAGAGGGTCATGGACCTGTGAACTCTGCTGTTACAGATACCATGTTATAGCAATTAAAATGAAAAAGCCTTGCCAGGTAATTTGTTTGTTTGTTTTTAAAAATATGTCTTTCCAGTAATTTTTAAAAACAAAATGATTCTTACATTTATTTCAAGGTTTTTGGAAAATACAGCAGAAGAGCCTATATGCTTCACCAGTTAGCACTTGCACCCACCCAAAGTTAGTTTTTAAGACCAGTTACCTATTGAAATGTGCGATCATTTGATTCAGTTATGTTCTTCTAGCTTTGGGCTTGCCATAGAAATGGTCTTCAGAGGTTGTTAAATTCTGTAATTAGACGAGTCACACTGCGACATGACAGAACAACTTGGATCCCCTGGTTCACCTTCTAAACTTTAAACATGGCTTTACAGTTTGTTAAAGACTCAGTCAAAGGTTGATTTCATTCATTCTTCAAGCTTGGGGTCCAGAGGAGAGAGGCAAAGACAACTTGTGTTGACTGTGTATTCATCTACTGTAAAAAAGTGAAAGGAGGTGACTTTTCGGTCTCGGCACAATCCAGAGTAGCAGAATGCTCTTTAAGTTTTGTCCACCAATAGCTGTTCCAGAAGCTGAAATGTGCAGTCGCATTTTTCACAGCTCCCTTTTATCAGCATCACAACATGCAGCTGGAAGTTAGGATATTATAGTGGTAGCATGTTCAGGGAGAGGGGAGGGGAAACTCAACGCTTCAGCAGATCTGTTAGGGAAGCCTTAATACCACTTTGCATATCAGAATTCCTTAGGGGCTTAGAATTCCATCCTAGAAATTGTATTTCATAACATCTGAGGAACACATTTAGTAAGATAATTGTATCTTTTTTTAGTTTTGATCCTATGATCTCAGAGATGATGGAGCTCTCAAAGGCCAGATCACTCAGGTCATTTTTCTGTGCCTGAGTTTGATTGGAGTTTTATAGAAAAGACATGCTTGGATGGTAATAGCAGTTGTGTGAGCATGATAAGCATTCCTTGGATGCAAGGATATCTGGAGTATTTGCTTACAGCCATTCAGATTAGGTGCAGGTACTTTCAGAGGCAGTTATGACTTCAAGTTTTTTCTTTATGAATCCACAAAGGAAACTTTTTGATGAGCTTTCCTGGATAGAACCTTTACGATGTAAAAAAGCAATGGATTTGTAAAACGCTTCAGAAAATGAAGGTGGTAGATTCTGTTTCTACATAGACTTTATCTGGTGGTTTGGCATGGGATTCTGTTTGATCCTTTGGCTTTTTTTAACCTTTTAAAAATCTTTATTTCCTGTATATCCACAGCAGTCTCATCCTTTTCCTAGCAAAGGTTATATTAGCAACAGTTTGCAATGACAGTCTCTGAAAATAGTTGTTTGACAGCAAAGACATGACACGGTTGCCTGCATCTAGTACTATTTGAGATGTCCCAAGGTAGCCAAAATATCTACACAGGATAGCAGATGTGACACAACTTTTGAGAGACTCTGGAACTGCAGCTGGAGGCCAAGCGGGTAATTAAAAGACACCTGAAATGTCGCTATACACCTATCTGTGGACAAGAGATTCAAGCCCCAGTTTGAAGAACAACTATTCAATTTCTGTGGAAAACAGAAGCAAAGAAGAAAGAAAGTGTCAGCAGGTGACACAGTAGACAACAAAGTCTGGCCGAGCTACAAGTGAGGTAGAAAGAAACTGAAGAGCCAAAAGTTAAATGCCATTCTCTTCATGAGTTATGGCACTTTTTTGGGGGGGTGGGAGGGGCAAATAGTTTCATGTTTCTCCTTCAATAGCTTAAAAAATGCTTGATTTATTCTTAACCCTGTCTTTCTTTTTTTACATAAATTATTTAAGTCTGTCCTTTTTTATTCTTGACAGAATAGCATACAAAAAGATTTCATGGAGTTGCATACTCAAAGAATAAGTTAGATGTACATTCCTGGGGTCAAACTCCTGACACCCGAAAGGTCACGCATCTCTTTGGAGGGACGCAGTAGTACCTTTCTCATTCTCTTACACTGAGTATTCCTCTTGTAGTTACAGAATCTAAAAGGAAGTCTCAAAAGTGCAATCATCTGTGTATTTTTATAAGGGTGATCAGTATTCAAATGCCCTCACTCCTCTCCCATATTCCCAAGTATAATAGTATCAGCCATTTTTAACAGCTGTCTTGGTTGTATTTGAAGCTGTCTCATTTTAAGCTTTCGGGCAGGTTCTGAATCATTTGCTTGACTACACAAAAGCCTTTTTTCAGGTAACTTTTTGGTCAGGTTTGGTAAAAAGCTAAGGGCTAGACCGTTTCAATACACAAGTAGTTTACAATGTCTTCACTGAGGTAGCTAATGTACTTAGAAGTTCCCAAGCAAGCAAGACTTCTTGCATTACATTAGATACAGTATTGGACAGGAGTAGTTCGCTCTCTCTACAACTAGTGGTCTACCTCAGTCCCTGTTGTCAGAATTGTCTCTACCAGTCATTTACTTATTAGATCTGTGTAGGCAGTGTCATAAGAGAGAAAAAGGATGCTATTTACCAAAATAACTTTTTCTCAAGTGAATTGTCTATGCAGATTTACACCAGCTCCTCAGGTTTACTTCTACCTCATGTATTTATGGAATGTAACAATGCGTAGGGAGTTAAGATGTAGGAGATTTTTCTATGTTTTCTTCCAGAACATTGGAATAGATGTAAATACTCCATTTAATATCTAACATTTTCTGTGGTTTCTGTTGCTTCACGGCAGGGAAAGTAATCCCAAAGGGGGGCCTCTTTGGAGGCAGTACATTCAAGGAACAAAATTTACTATGGTAAGTGACTATTCCAACAGAAATTTTTCCAGTGTCACTTTGTATATTTCAGCAACTACTATTTAATTCACTTTTAAGAACTCAATCCTGGAAACACATAGACTTTTAATATAGGAACAGATCTTAAAACATAAAAATTAACAAATTAACCAATGGGCTAACAGTGGAAGATGAGCACACAAACAAGTTGATGGCGTTTGATATGGTATTTCACAGAGAAATGCAAATTTGGGTTTTTGTCAGTATCCTTCTCAGGATCATATCAGAAAGATGTATTTAACCTTGCACTAGTCCATTAATGAAAGCACATGTTCATGTTGCTGGACTTGCTCTGTGTAGGGGCGTGGAATATGATTCAATAATAGGCAAGGTTATGTTAATAACTAGAAAGCCCCCCAAACTATAATGAGGGGAGGTGGAACACATATTGCTTTGGGCAGGGAGTTTTGGAAGGTTTTTGAAACAGCTTAAAAAGGAGGGAGAATTCAATGTCTGACTTGGAAATAAAACCCACTTAGAATTACATTTTAGATTAACAAAGGAAGCACAAGCAGAAATATTTTTTACATTGGTTTGTTAAGCTTTATAATTTGTACAGATTTTCTTCCTAAAGGAAATATAAACAGATTGCTTTATTTTTTATTGGTGCTATTTAATTATTAAGCTGTTAGCAAATTAATTCACTAGACTTGCAGTTAAGCGTGAATGTATCTTGGAGAATGTCAGTTCTCTTGTGAGATTCAGAAATGATGTTTAAAAGTGGAATATAGTCATGCAAAGGTTGAGAAAATACACTTTGGTGCCAAACCCCATCATTTCTATAAAAGTGACCAACAAAGATATTTAGAGCTTTTTCTAGACTGTTACTCTAGTCTGTCATAAACTAGTATTATGTTAGATATTAAATATATCCTGTGCTTCTCTTCATTAAAACTTTATATTCTGGTACTTTAGGTGAACTGGACCTATTCCAAAAGCGATACAGTAGATCAGTGTGGCAATTTAAAAGCTAATTGCATGGCAATTCAACACTTTTTCTGACATCAGAAAAATCACAAACCAGTTATTTAAAAAAAAAATTCTGAATTGTTAATTCTGATTTCTTAACATAGACAAAAAATTCAGGTTGTACTTAATATTTAAGCAAGTTTTAGTTACTGGAGGTGGACTATGGCTCGTGAGTTGTGTGGTTTTCAGTGGCTCGAATTGTGACTATTAACACGTCTTGTAAATGTGAGTAGTCCTCACTCATTTGAATAGTCTCACTGGCATCAATTAGATAAGCATGAGCAAGACTCTATAGCAGACTGCATGTATGTATATGCATGTTGTATTAAAAAGTGCAAAAGTCAAGTACTTCAGATACTTCAATATGGAGGCCAGTGTCCAGAAAAAATGTGTAGTAAACGTTTAGTAAAAGTTATGGCTAATGACTATGCTCAGCTGGATAAAAACCTTTACTTTTTGTAGGCATAACTAAGAAGGGGAAAGGGAGAAGGCTCAAATCTCCAATTGTGCTTTTTAAACCAGACTGTGTACTAGCAACAATCTACTAATGTTACTGCTGTTACATTGCCTGTAACGAAGAACCAGGAGGATACGTTGTGCTATTCAATATGTGAACGCACACAAAGAACAAAAAGAATTGTCCCAATTTTGGACAATTTACAAAGGAGTTGGAACAAGAAGTAAGGGACGAGTCTATGGGGATATGTAAAACCAGTGGGCTCTGTACACTAACCATTTTTAACTCTCATTGAGCTTTTGGCATGTCAGATGGGATGAGTTTTAGGACGCCTCTTGAAAAGAAAATAATGAAGCTTTGCAGGCACCCTTTGTATGGAAGGCAGCATGGAAGGGCTGTTAGAAAAGAAAACATTTGGCTGAGATAGGTATCATGAACTGAACAGAGATGAGATTCAATGTCTGAGTAGTCATTAGAAGGTTATTAATATGTCAGTAAAAGCCTGGAAGGACTTCAGAATTCAAGTCAAGTCTTTTTTATCTGTCATGATGGGGAAGAGAGGAACTAGCACAGCAGAGAAAGAAGGGCAGTAACATGGTCAAAATAGTGGACTAAAAAAATTGTATTTGAAGGAGTCTTGTGGTCGCTGAGAAAATTACATTTGTCATGAGCTTAAAAGCTGTGTTACAGTAATTGAGACGTAAGATGAAAGTGATGATGAGAAATGATTTTTTTATATATATGAATAGTCTTAGATATGCTACATAGAAAGCACCTGCAAGTTTTAGAAATATT